CTGTAAAATCAAATCTGTTTTTAGTTTTATTGAAATTGTTAGGCTTTGCCAATGATGGAATTCAAATAATCATCAGATCTGATACATGATTACAAATCTTGATGCTGAGGTTAAGCCTTTCAATTATTTATCCCTTCTTAATCTGATTATTAACACTTTCATAATTTATCAAAATATTATTGAATCTTCCTGTTAGCACAAAGTAGTTGAAGCTTTAATCAACACTTGAATCATACTATTGAAACAAAGTTTAAGGTTTTACCATCCAGATTGTACATATGGTAATAAGAGATTGTATTGAAAATCTTTGAAAGACTCAAGATTGATTCAATTTCACGAGTTCATTGAGATTGGCATTGCTAGTGATAAGGTGATACTAATCAATAATAATCATATATCTACAAATCAATGAGAACGAAACCTAATGAAAAAGATCATCTCTTTTGATATTGTTCCTCTGTTTTATAACCGAAAATGTTAGCTTGGTGGTGCATTGTCAATGAATGCTGATTCATTTTCAGTTCCCCGACCGATGCTAAAGCCGCAAGTTCCTTCTTGTCTAAACCTTTCGCTGGCCCGAGGCTGCACCTTTCGCTTCCGTGCTTATCCAACGCCTTCTTGAACTTACTAATCTGCCATTTTTCAACCAACAAGGAGATATACTCAATTTACTGCTAAATTGCTAACGATATGCGAAACCCGCAAAATGTTTCAAGTATCGGTTTTGCTTACCGTTGCAACGGTGCAGCTGAAGCTACAAAGTTTACCCTCTGCTCCTCTATAGAACTTAAAGAAAGGAAGCACATGGACGTTTAGTCCATGACACATTGTTCTAAGTTCTTCTTGATTCACTTTGAGAAACATCACACTTGGGTTTGATTCAGCCAATTGACACATCTGTTAATACATTAAAAACATATCAGAACATAAATCAAATCTCAAAACAGAGTTTGAGACTAGTTCTTTTACCTTTGGGTAGAGAGATTTGCAACCTCCACAAGAAGGCGAGTAGAAATCAAGAACAACTAATCTATCTCCAGCATTCAACAATGAGTCAACAAGATGATTTGCAGAATTGATCTCTAACATGTTGTGATTTGCTGATTTTTCCCACCATCTCATTCCTCTACTCATACCAATCAATGATGATGTCTTTGCCTGAAACAAACCATTTCATTTCAAAGCAAACAAACCATTTAAGAATCTATAAAAGCCACAAATTTTTTGCGTTTAAGAATAAAAGAAGACGTTTTTTTCTTGTTTGCTTACAGGAGCCACAGAGGAAGAAGAGAAGGCGGTTAAGGATTGGTTGGTGAAATCTGTTGGATGTTCCTTCAAATCGAGGCTCATAACCGGAAAAAGTTGCGATTTTGATTTGTTTTCCTGAGAAAATGAAGAAAACCCAGAAATTTGCCCATGATTGGTTACCAGAGATGTAATGGCAGCATCCATGTCCTGAAATAAAAAACCAAGCTTCTGTAATCTGATTAATCTTAGATGCTTGAATCTTTTGATCAAACCAGGCTTGAGGAATTTTGTGAAATGAAACAAAAAAAAAGTGAAGGCTTTGAAAGAGAAGCTCACAAAAAGGTTGTCACTTTATTGACCTCTCGATATCAATGAAGAACACATACACTCGGTACAGTTTATGCAGAAACTTGTTAATGTTTAGACAAATTTGGAATTTACTCGTAGTAGGTGGGTCCTGGATTTGTTTTTATCCTTATCCATTTTAACCGTTAAATTCGTGATTTGTTATAATAATTTGGTTTACTCATCGTAGTTAACGCTTCATTGACCGATATTTTAGTGACATTTGGAAACTATGAAGGATCCGGATTGGATGTTGCTAGGATTTTTAAGATAATCTTCCTTTTTATGAATTTATGAAGATTATCCACTAAATAAAAACAAAATTTATCTTTTTGATTGTAATGGATTTTGTATAATTTTTCCTTATGAGAATGAGTAATAAACATCACTGTCAGGGTCGTCGAATGAAACGTGTAGCTGACTGTGTTTGAGGCTTTTCCTCGTTGGATAGGGTCCCACTTGGTTTATTCAATTGTATAAACTCATAATTGTTGCAGAATCCCAATTGGAAGATAAAAACATGTTAATATACAAAATTAATTACAGAATAAATGACCAGTTATAAGGTAATTATACAGAATTTAGAAGATCATTCTTTTATGTTAGTCACAAGATTGGAATTTATCATTTTCTTTTACAAGGATATGACTTTAAAGGTCATAAAGTTTGAGTAGACTAGAGATAGTTAAGATTAAGCATACACTTAAAATAGTAAAATAGATTTTGAAGACAATAGAAACTCATAATAGTGTCGAAGGAGTTAAAAGATGAACTCACTAAAATTGCTTAGTTTAGTGGTCCACGGCCGCCACGATCTCTCCGACCACGTTTACCGCGACCACTTACCAATGACCATTGCATTATTTTGCATTTTTTTAGTAGGTTTTATTGGTCTTCCTCCTCGCGTCTTCTGAGATGATGCATCGAAAGACTCATATCTTGTAAAAACTCCATTACTATTGAATGGATTTCTCCACGGCTCAATCACACCATTCTCCATAACCAAAGGTAAGATTGGTTGAGGAGGAGGTGTTTCCCAAACCGGCACAGTCTCAATGGTTGTAACTGATGGCGTAGTTGGTTGCTCAATTTCTTGAGATGGTATGGATTTAGTAGCAGAAGCTAAGGTAGTGGTTGTGACAGAAGTTGTGGCAGTAGTTGTAACAGATTATGGAGTAGTTGTAGTTGGTTTTGAAGTTAATGAAATTTCCCTTGTTGTTGACAAGTTAATAGCTGAATATTGGCCTGAGTTTATTAAGTCTTGAGCAAAATAAGGTCTATAGACTCCAAAAAGCAGCCGACGAGTTATAATCGAAAACTAATGCCTAGAAATAGAGAACGAAATTAGGGTAAAATAAA